AAACAAATCCCAGGGGCAGCATTTAAAACTTCCAAAGCTTTATTTCTTCTGCATAGTTCCACTTGTGGGATCAAGGTGCCTGCACTGAAAGCTTCTGGAACCTTCTGGAAAGCAGTGGCCATTTGCCCCTCCCTCCCCCTGTCATCCTGTTGGGTTCTGAGGGTATAAAACGGGGAATGGCTCCGACTACCCCTCAGTGCCTTTCTAACTGCTGAAGGTTCAGCGAGCTCAGATTGCACATAGTGTCCTTGATGCTTGCCTCTTGGTTTTTTCTTTGCCTTTTTCTGCCCTTTTGATCCAAATTTTGTTTATAGTTTGTCAGTCAGATTTTTCCTTTAAATGACACGAGGCAATCTCCATCCAGCCTGTGCTTCGTGTGGACCACATCACGCACCTTACGGGTATGGTAGCTCACCAGGCCAGTCAACTAAGGTGGCACTGAATAAGTTCAGTGTCACCTTCAAAAAATGTCCCTTAGAAGTAGGTTTGGCTGCCTCTCACACCCCTGCACAGGGGAGGCATCTCAGGCTGATCACTGTCAAGGTCCCTGGGCCTGTTCAGGTTGACCTAGGAGACCTGGCTATGTGCCTAAGGTGGCTCTCTTGATGTTGGATACAATTTCCAAAGGATCTGGATACACAGTTTTCAAATTCTGCCCCCCAGTGTGGATATGGAGCTACAAAACTCACATCTAGATCCAGCAGCCTAGTGTGGATCTGGGGCTGCAAAACCTGGATCCACAAGAGAGCACTGATTGAGTGGTACCAAACCTCACTCCTCCCCCCCCCCCACCCACACACACAACAAAACAAAACAAAACATGTATACGAATCCATGTCTGATAAATATTGCTTTGGATCCATGGTAAGAGTCTGAATCCAGATTCTACAGTTAAACGTGAAGAACTGCAAAGCACAGTTGCCAAGAAGGGATCCTGTTACCTGGGATCCAGCCGGCATGAGGATCTGACATCTTTGACTATTGAGTCACTTGTTTACAGGCTCTTTACCACTAAGGTCCAACATTCACCCAGGTCGGTGGAGTCTGGTGCTACATTTCCAACACTATGATCTTTGCAGAACTGCTTACCTCACTCCGTGGTGCTGGCACTAGGGTGCTGGGGGTGCTGCCACACTCCCGGCTTGAAGTAGTAATAACAAACAGCAAATACATGGTTTCCATCATCAGCACCCCCACTATAAAAATTATTGCAGCACGCTGGCCTCACTGATTCTGTGCCCAACAGAGTGGCGTAAAGAAGCAGATCAGTGTGGAGGTCTTGCAACACTGGAAAAAAGAAATGATCAGATCTGGAATGGTGGATCTCCACCCAGGTTTGAAGTTCTCTGACAGACATCTTGAGTCCAGATTGCTTGATCTCTTGATTATGAGTCTTATTCTAAGATCTAAAAGATTCTAATGAAAAGCAGGAGTTTTTGATCAGTCAAATCTTCTCTGTAGCTTGAAAGAAATCTTCCATCTGGGCATCTCCTAAGTGGATGGACCTGATTAACTCCTGAACTGTTAATGCAGATTATTTAAAAGAAGATGCCTTCGTGATAGCTCAGATAGTTCCAGAGATGCAAGCCTAATTATCTCCTTTAAGTTGCATTTTTACAGAACAGGTGATCTTGCCCACATCTCCATCACAGCAGTCTAAAATGTCAGAGATTTGCATTTCTTTCATACTTTGCATACTCAGAGAACTTTGTCATTATTTATACCAGGGCAAAGCTTATATACTAGTTCCTTGGAGAAATGGAGCTGATATGAGGAGCTAATCCATCATAGTACAAAGGTTGCCCATGTAATGTGCTATGTTTCACAATTATTGGGACCTGACAGGGCTTTGACTTACTGGACAAATGTAGCCTCCATGGTATGCCCTGACATAATCATCATTGCATCATATTGCATGATTGATACTACAGCTATATGTGCTTTTAGCAAAAGTGTTTCTTCGTTAACTTTGTTTTGGGAGAGCAAGATCGATGGTTTCTATTCACTCTTGATTCTATTCACATCCAGAGCTGATACTTGTTTATCTAGAACGCCTCAGCTTACTTTCCTGGGGGATGAACTGCTTGCTAAATTCCCACAAGTGAGAACATGCAGAGGACACTTGAAGAAGAAATGAAGATTATTTACCTGTACCCAGTTTTCTTCCAGATGAGCCTCTGCATATTTACATTCCCCACCACATTTCCCCACTTCTTCAGAGTCTCACGTTAGGAATTCTTGAATTAGTGGGAGGAACTGAGGGGTGGTCAGGATCATTCCACCTTTTATACCATCAGAACCTTCCAAGATGGAAGGGAGAGGGAGGGGCACGTGGCCCCAGTGAACAATGCTTTCCAGAACGTTCTGGAAGCTCGCATCACAGGCACCTTGATCCCACAAGTGTGAATATGTAAAGGCTCATCTCAAAGAACTCTGGTTATAGGTAAGTAACCTTCATTTCTTTCTTGATTTAAGAATATTTGAGCAGTAGGAGAGTTCAAAGTTGCCTTTTTTGTTTTGTTTTTTGTCATTAAGTAGAAATGAAAATTTTTTAAAGATCCAAAAGTGACTGCAAGGATTTGTTTGTCAGAAGAGTAAAGTTAGAATTATAAACTCAGAAATTAGTCATTTTCCATCTTGCTGTCAGTAGTGCAGGATGGTTCTCTATGGTCCATAAAACAACAGGCCTGGGTAGTGTCAACAGAGCTCATGCAAGGTCTGGTGCTATAGAAGCAGCTGGTCTGCCACATTTTTAAACTGATGGCACTACATTTTATTTTTCAGCCTCAGATTAGGTGCAATTGCTAATCTGTCTGGTGTGTTTTCATCTTGTACAGGACTCTATAAAAGCATATCTGTCTCCCTTTGGGATTCTCTTGCTTTTCAGGTAGCACAATAGCAATTATATTTGACAGTGAAGCTGTAATGAAATTGTATGCACTACTTCTTAATTTGAGATAGGCTTCAGTGCTTCATTATTTAATGCGAGTCAAGCAAAGAGATCTCATTAAATAAGGCTCCTGTACATATTTAATATGACAGGGATGTGGAATCTACTCCTTTTTGTAGTAAGATATGTGGGCTCTAATTTCATAACATATATGATTAGTTGAATTGATATAAAACCGAATCATCTGTAAATACAATTATTTTAAATGTACTTACTTATTAAGGTGCTTAGAACTGTTCTTCATTATTTTAACTCATGAGAATCTTTTTCTCTGCTAACTTTTATTTTTCCATCATGGATTTTTCTGCACTACGTTTCTAATAAAAGTGAAATTAATACATCTCTAGGGGCTTTGTTAATCCTCCCTCATCTCCTGTCCCAAAACCAAAACAAAAAAATCCCTCCTTAAGTTTATAATTTTGTAGGCAAAAACATTTTAGTACATCAACGTATTCAATAATACTAGGTTACCTTTTGTATCAAAATGCAGCTGTAAAGCATAGATTTGGTTAATATTTTGGATATTTTAATTTCTCAGCAATAGTGACAATTGGAAAAACAAGAAGTTCTTTGGGTTAGGGACCATATTTTTGATCTGTCTCTGTACGGCACCTAGCATAATGAATCCTGATCCATGATCAAGGCCGTTAGGCATAACCGTAATGCAGATAATTATAAAATATCCAAAATATTTATAGAGCTTGGAAGATATTGAACATCAGACTAAAATAATTGTGAGGAAGGTCACATTTTGTGTCCCGTGGTGGTGTCCATTGTCAGAGGCATAGCATATATTTCATATTGGAGTTCAGCTATTTGAAAAAGTATATTTCTTCAACAAAATTAGGGCCTGCTCCTGCTAACACTTACTAAAAGGAATATTGACCCATTGGTGCCTGATGGAATGTTTTTCAGAGTTTTCCATCTGGAAGCAGTTCTGTGTCTTCTAGATATTGTGGTTTGTTTCCTTTTTAAGGGACCTGTGAATGAGTATCAAGACCTGTGTTGCTAAGAAGTTCATATGATCCTGTTGCTTAATCTTCTTCATAGCAACTAATTATGATTATTTGGCACCAAAAGTGGGCTAGCTGCCTGCTTCAAAGAATTTATACTGTAAATGAAAATGAAATAAATAAGGAGGACAAAACAAAGCAGTTGGGGGGGGGTTCTTGGGTACAGAAGTTACAGATACAAGGTAATGATGTGACAGCGGATTTTGACTTCTCATGGGGATTGTGCAGCAGGGGCAGCGGATGTTCCTGTTTTTATGCAGCTGTTCATAGTAACAAGGAAAAGAGGAAGAGGAGATACTGTGCCAGGATAAGAAGAATTAGCTCTGAACACAATGTTTTTCAAAACTTTGTATGTTACATCATCAGATCTTAAGGATTCAAAGCACTTCTTCAAAATAAGGTTCTCAGACAATATAAAATATGATGACGTTAATTAAAGAGAGTTGGAACTGGTGAGGGAAGTGGACTGTTGCTGTCCTTGGTTTTTATGGGAAATGAAATATATACCCTTAACCATTGTATAACTAAGGTGGGAAAATGTGGGGTGAAGAAGTCATAAGGCAATTCAGATAATTCCCCCTGTTTGAGAGTCAAGTTAAGCAGAAGGTGCCTGTCAGGAAAGATTTCAAAACATGTGCTTATAGCTATTTGCAGTTGACCCATGATATACACTACCAGTAATCAGGCATGTCTAAATAAGGACTGAAACGGATTCCTTGCTCCTCAGGCTGGCAAGAAGTAGCGAAGGCTATGGAGGCAGTGGTTCAAGAGTAGCCTTTAGTGAACCCAACTAGCTTGTGCTTGAAGTGATGTTGAGTCTCTGAATGGATTTGTTTCTACCCTCCTCACCTGTTCTTTGAGGGAGGATCACAGTATGATGGGGCAAAGAGGGAATGAAGCACAGAGGGAGAAGTTAGGGAGGGTCCTAGAAGAGCTTTTGTCCCTCCCCCCCCTCCCCCCCCCCCACAAATGTACCTGTTCGCATTGTTGACCTCCTCAGTTGGTGTATACATAACTGTTGTTTGTGTATCTGACAGAGAAATGAAGGGGATCTTTTTCATCGACTATGGCACATAATGAATGAAATCCTGGACCTGAGAAGGCAGGTGCTCGTTGGCCATCTCACCCATGACCGGATGAAGGATGTAAAACGGCATATCACTGCTCGCCTGGATTGGGGCAATGAGTGAGTCAGAGTTAATAATAGAAGCAGTTATGGTAACCCAGTTATAATAAATGAATCACTGTGCCACAATTGTATGCTCATGGTAACATGTTAAAATAAGGAACTGGTGTATGGCAGAAATGCTGAGTCTGATGTCAGCATTTTCTGAGGACTCTTCCCCTCCCATCAGTTCTCTTCTGTAAGAAGGGGTGGATTTGAACCAGCACATTTTACACTTTGAAAATAAATGATTCATAGCTTCACTTTATTTAAAAAAAAACACAAAACAAAAATAAAACAAAAAATCCAGCAAATATTTGCTTCATGTTGGCACTTACCTAGCAATCCTAGAAATATAGGGCTAGCAGGGATCTTGAGGTGAGAGGTGACTGCCTTTTTAACACCTTATCAATATATGCAAGGCCATATACTCAGATGGTACAAATCAACATATGCTGATTGATGGCAGCTGAGGTTTTGGTCCAAGATTTTTACTTTGATTTTGTCATGGATCAGTTTTTACCTGGGAAGCTTCAAGATATAATAAGAAACAAACAAAAATTATTAAAGAAAACCCATCAGATGCCTGCATTTTGCTTTTACCTGAATATTTATTTAGGAGCACTAAGTAAATCATATATGCTGTCACTGTTTTGATAGCAAACAAGTATTTTTCTGCCTTTGTATTTAGCTAAACTCATACCATATCAAAGGCTTTCACTTCACTGTTACTAACTGCATAACAACATCATGAATTCTAGAAATAAAAAATTAATAGCTTAAAGTTTTGATGTTGAATGTGGTTTTAAATTTTCCAGATACAGTTCATGCTGATCTTGACGCTATTTTGCACAGTTTGAAAGGCCAGCAAGCTCATCTCTATTCCAGACACGCTGCACATAGGAAAAATAAACACAATAGGCTACTCTCGACTCAATATTACTTTTGAAAACAGCAGCACAGATTAAAAGCACATTGGCGCTTGCATTGAAAATCAAGACTTACTTGATACCCTGTTCTTGTAGCTGGCAATGGGGCATAAGGCTTTTGTGACTCTTTTCTAGAGAGGTGCCAACTGTTGTCTCCTGGCTTGGGCCATGTTTGGCAGCTGAATAGTACAGATGCCAGGAAATGAAGTGTACTCCTAGAGTGATGACATCTGTATATGTATCTAGCTTTTGCCTCTAGCTTTGCAGCATGATTTTGAAAAGTTGAGATTGTGCAGGAGATTGTGTTCATACTTTGGAAAATTTGAAAGAGGATAAAATACACAGGTGATACTTCTCAGGATAAGGGATTTGAATGATGAATTAAAAATACAGTAAAAGGGGCAAAACAGAGAAAATAATTAACAGAATTGGGGAGAAGGAGTAAGGAAGGAAAAATGAATCCTGATTTGTAATTTTCTACCTTCCTTTTACACTGGTAAATGCCCACCCATTGCTTAGAAACCAAGGTGATAAGCATCTTAGAAATACTTAAGAGTGGTATTTAGTTTATTACTAAATCAAAGGAGGATATTGTACACTTTACAGATTTTCATAACTACTTAAGTATTACTGCTGGCTTTGATAGAGTAAGCAGATGAATTATAGAAACAGATGCCATCTGCAGAGGGAGGAAATCAGCAGCAGCTAGTCTTTATGAAGAGAGATTCTTTTTACTTGGGTTACTAATTTCATTAGTTTTTGGGTGAATTGAAGAGATGGGGGAGGAGGGGAAGAAATAAAAAGGGAAAAGGAGCATCCTTGTCCATAAGGAGCTCAGTTCTGCCAAGCACAGAGAAGTGCTGAGTGTCCTCAACAATCATTGAAGCCAGCTCAGTACCTTGCCAGATCATTCCTAAATAAATTGGTTATTACTAGATTTTTTTTCCCCATTGACATAATTTCCTGTTACTATTCTTTACCTGTCTATATTCCGTCTTATCCACTTCCCCTTCTATTTCTCAAGCTAATGGTGTGTCAGCTCCTTACCATACCAGTCTCTCTGCCTCACCAGCAAACTCAAGACTCTGCCAGTCTTCACCTTGTCTTGCAAGGAAACATGTCCGTAACATCCAGCCCCTGTCACTTGTCACTCATAGAAATTACTAAGTCTGCTTCCTCTAAAGAGAGAGTGCACACACCAGCCTGTTAGTCTAGCCAAGGACCCACACTTGGGGGGCATTCTGCACCAAAAAAATTAAAAACTAAAAACGGTGCAAAAAAAAATAAAATTCTGTGCTCAATATTTTAAAATTCTACAAAAGTTATTTGTCAAAATAACACTATATAATCATGCCAGTTTCTATTATTTTGGTAATTTATGTCAAAATACCTGTCATCAAGTATGTCTGTAACAATACAGATTCCCCCAGGAATAGAGAGTTAAAGAAATCCCTATGATAACCCAGTTGCTGTTTCTCTACCCCCTTTCCCCTCCCAACTCCAGAGCCCAGCTGGGGGCCAGATACCCACAACCCCTCCCCCCCAGAGCCACCTGCGGAGCCTCCCCAACCAATAAACCCAAACCCCTTCTCCCCAGAGTCCAAATGTGTGGGCCCCCCAGCCCAGATACCCACCCCTCATTCCCCCCCAGAGCTCAGCTACGGGTCCCCCCATCCCTTCCCCACCCAGAGCCCAGCTACACCCACCCTACCCAGACACCCAGCCTCCCTCCCTCCCAGAACCTAGGGATGCAGAGGGAGAAATAGCCTAATGCTCTGTCCCAGGCTTGCATGGAGTTTCCTGCGCACCATCATCTCCTTCCCTCAGGGCGTGCTGGGAACTGCAGCTGCCAGGAACCTTCTTATCCCTCCCCCTCCCCCCAGCAGTGTCTTCTATGTGCAAGTTGGGCTCTGCCAAGTCCACTGGCCCCTAATGGTGGCCAGTAGTACTGCAGCCCATTTCTGTGGGGGAAAGGAAATTCTGCGTGCACAATGTTAATTTCTGCAAAATTCTGCATTGTGCAGTGGCGCAGAATTCCCACAGGAGTATCACATCAAGCTTCTGCCATTTCCAGCCCCACAGGCAGGTGGATCCACCGTTGACAGACTCAGAGGGCGCTGATCCCTTTGTCCCCTAAGTGATGGATAAAAAAGGAGTTCCCTTTCTTTCTTTTTACAGTCTGGAAAACTTTTGAAATGTATTCTTTAAAAAGTAAACCCAGACAAAGTCCCTCTCCCCTGCTGCGAATTCTTTGGGGTGCAAGCTCCACCCCTCTTCTTCGTCATCTGGTCAGCTTGCTTTCTTGATTATCTTGATCACTTTGTTTATCTTAGATGCAAATGTACTTTCATTGCCCTTTACTTGTAATCAAGCCATGCTGTTTTCTCATCCGCCTGTTAGCTTGATACATGCAGAGAGGTAAATCCACATTCCTTTGTCTAGGGCAGGCTTGTTTTATCAACACCTCCAAAAGATATTTTCAGAACATATTTCTAACACACACACACACACACACACACACACACACACACACACACACCTCTTTATACACAAATCATACATACAATCACACAATGATATTCATGACCATAGAAGATTAGGTTTGGAAGAGACCTCAGGAGGTCACCAGCATGTCACCAGTTTTCGTATGATACCTTACAAAACACTGATTGGCTAGTTATTCTGACAACAATGTAGTTGGGTGTGCCCTTTGCTAATTGGCATAAATGGGCTCCTATGATCACAGTGTCCTATGTCTGGCAGTGGTCTGTACCATGTTTTATAGGAAGCCTTCTCAATTATGTACCTACATAGTTATACAGTGCTGTACATGTATAGTTGGGAAGTTCTTCTTGACCTTTTCAAGAGATCAGCTTGCACTTTGACATACAGTATGTGATTTGAACAGTTAGGTCACTCTAACTTGCATAGTGCAAATGTTTTTACTAGGCATAAAAATAATCAAATCCTTTGAATCTTATAGCTACGATATGCTCTATAGCAGTAGATTCTTTTATTTACCAATCTAGCATACCCTACAGAGTTATGTTCTTTCTCCCACCCATTTTCTGCCCCAACAAGGCACATATGGAGATAGAAAGGAAAAAAGAGGGCAATGATCAGCATCCATGTCTATGCAGTTCTTGATGCCACTGCTGAGAATGCCAACATGGGTGTAAATTGTGATAGTGAGTTTTGTAATGGGAACATCTGTTCACTGAAAACTGGACAAACTACCAAACCTGGACTAGATTTGAACCAGTGACTTAAAAGTCTAAAGCTCCATATTCCATTATCAGAACTTCAGCCTTCTAGTTACACCTACCTTCTTTCTTTTCATATTTAGCCTCTTTAGAACCATTATCTCTATTTGAAAATTAAAAAGTTTGATTTATTAGCTTGGATACTTAGGGAAAATTAAGGCTCGGCCAACAGAGGATTCATTGTGAGGGCAAGGACCCAGCACACACATTCAGAGGCAGATTTATAATTTGGATGCAGGTTTTGGGGAGAACAAGTCAGGGACCAGCTATACCAACCATGGGAAGCACCAGCCTCAGAGGAGACAAGATTGAGAGTAGGGCTGTAGCATCACTTCACCTCCCCTTCACTTCATATCAGTAGGCCTGCTCTGCTATACCTGCAGAACAGGTGTTCCAAATCCTGCTGATCAATACACTGGCTACACCTACACAAGGATAAAAGACCTGCGGTATGACCACGGCTAGCCAGATCAGCAGACTCAGGCTTGTGGGGTTGGGGCTGTGGGGCTAAAAATTGCTGTGTAGACATTCAGGCTCCAACCTGGCAGGGTCCCAGAGCTCAGGCTCCAGCTCGAACCCAAATGTCTACACAGCAATTTTTCAACCCAAGGGCCCGAGCCAGCTGACCCAGGCCAGCCATGGGCTTTTTATCCCTGTGTAGATGCGCCCTCTGTGGCCTCCATAATAAGCCTAACTGAACCCATGGTTTTGTATTTCAGTGATGTGTGTACGTAATTCCTATTAATGACAGAAACCCTTTGTGTGGGGCTAAGTGGACATAAGTGACTGTGTTTGTCCCCCGCACCCTTTTTCTTACCCACAAGGGTAG